AAAAAAAAAAAAATAAATTGTTAAAAAAAAAAATAAATAAATAAGTAATGAAAGAAAGGCCAAAATCTGATCTATTGTTAAAAAAAAATGTAAAAAAAAATCCCAAAGTTAATCTATTACGGTTAAAAAAAAAATAAAAATAAAAAAAAGTTACTAATCTATCGCGATAGTTTTTAAAAATTTTACAATATTAACTTAATAAGTTAATTGTCTATTACTTATTAATATTAGCAAAACTTTACAGAGGGTAGTCTAAACATGACATTGAATTTTTTTTGTTATATAGATTTTATTCGCCCAAATATACACTATACTCAATTAGTAAATAGCGTCCTTGATAAATTTCTTTTTTATCGTTTTTTTACATAAGATTAAATTGTATTGTGAAACTTAAATGCATTAAAGATACCTGTAAACTATAATTATTTTTATTATAAATTCTTTCCCTTCATGCAATATTTAAGCTAAATTAAATAATTTCTATAGGAAAATTTCAGATCATATTCTGAATTGAACTGCTCGTCTTCTCGAAGTTGGTTAGGATTCTTATTGATGCAATACAATTTCATTAGTGAATTTAGTAAGAATTATTATTGTACATGGCGCCGTACATTTAGATAAACTTTCCCTGCGTACTCTTTAAAAAAAAAATGTCAAGAAGTGGCCTGCATTACGCATTTGGCTGGAATTAAGCATGGCACAGGTAGTGAGTGACGAATATAGAATTGTTGAAAAAAAAAGTACGGAGGGTGTGATACAGATTATAACAAGTCACACTGCAGGCTGCAGCAATAGCTGAAAGCAAAAAAACGTACGTATTTGGCGTAATTTATGTTTATTTTTATTATATACTTAAATTTGTTTATTCCATTAAAAATATAAAATAAAAATAATTCTAATAGTAATTTAATTAAAGATATATTGCAAATTCACATTTTCCTCATCAAAAAATAAAATGTTAAGAATTTAGAATATTCTCAATAGTGAATGTAGTACAAGTATTATACCTTTAAAATTTTTTTATAATTCTCATTTCTTATATTTTGATATTAGATGATAAATCGGCAAAATTATTTTTTTGCAAACAACTCCGTACCAACAGATAAAGAATATTATACTAAGGAGACAAAGTCCTTTCATGTCAACTTTTTTTATAGAAATACATGTGATTTGTGTTGTATAGGCGTATGATTAAGCTTAGAAAATTATAAATTGCATAACAGTATAAAAAATTACACTTTTTCAGTTGGATGGCAAGAATAGGTGCGTATAATATAATAATAGGATCGTGTATTGTAATTATCTTGAAATCTGTCATCGTCTAATGTAGGCGCTTTATAGTTGTTATTTTTGATTAGAATTCAAATACTTTTTTTTAAAATGTACAACGTGTCAACGTAATAATAATGGCTTCGTGAATTACTATTTTCCTTAAGCATTTAATACTTTGACTAATTTGATTTTTAAAAAATTTTATGAAGAATCCTGGGCTTTTTCATATTTCTTTAAAAGCTCTCATAATTCTAAGCTGTGTCAGTTTTTGCTATAGTAAGTACCTTTTTTTTATTTTTTTTATCGGTTCTTAAGACTGAAGTTTTTTTTGAGATTTTTTTTCTGTTCTTTTTTTTGTAACCTGGAAAAAAAATTTATTTATTTATTTATTTATTTTTTATTTTTGGTTTTTATAAATAAAAATGGAAAAAAAGACGCTAACCATAGCACCGCAACGTCAACCCATCACTGATCCAAATCTAAAGAAGAAAAGAACAAAAACAAAAGGAAAATGAAAAAAAAAAAATTAAATTAATTGAAAAACTGTGAAAGGAATAAAAAAATATTATTAAAAAACCTGGTCTTAAAAGAATCGGTAGGGAGGGAAAAAATTTTTTTAAAAAAATCTGATAAGAAAATATTGGATTTTTAAAATCGGAGAGGACCAATAAATGAATAACTGAAATAATAATAATAAATCCGGTTTTCAAAATCGGAAAGAAGGAAATAAAAATTTTGGTTTAATTGTTATCTCAGCTTAACCGAAAAATTTCTTTTACTGTAGCCGATCGCATCGTCCCAAAATGATAGAAATGGCCGAAAAAGAAATATAATTAATAATAATAACTTAACTTTTTCCTATTGCATTACAAAAAAATTCCTATTATAACCGAAACTGGGTTAATCACAAAATCTTTACGGGTCAATAATTTAAGTTTTAAGTTTTGCAAACGTGATCATCCCGTTGATTTTTTTTTATTATTTGTCAGCCAAGTATGTTGATTTGAAACTGAAACTTGGTAATAAGCGTATGGATGATTTAGAAATCGAAAAGACTCTTGGTTCTCTGTTAGATGATTTTTTAAACACGTAATAAAACTGAAATGCATTAAACTTTGACAATCATATCTTGAAATGAAAAATTGGGCGTATTTTTTAATATTAACATTGATTAGATTTCATATTTAATCTAATCATATTCTCATTTTGGACGAAAAAAATTCCAGATAATTATACTAGCCTTTAAAATTTTTTTGTTAAAGAAAATCACTTTTTTGAGTTTTTAAGATTATTAAATTTTTACAAAAACGAGAAATTATTTCAAACTAATTAATTGTAGTATATATAAATTTGTTAAAATTTAACTTGCTTCTTTCGGTCAATTACATTTTGTTATACATGCATTGTATGTGTCACAACTGTCCCTATGTTTTTTAAAGTTAAAAAAGATAAATACAATGAATTTTCTTTAATTTTTTCAAATTTTAATTTTATATTACAATAAAGAAAATTAGAAGAAAATTCATATTTTATAAACTATATTATGACTTTACACATATTACGAAAAATTTAACCCGCTTGAATATAGTAATTATATTTAATCAATTACAGGATGGCAAGGACCATGAAAAATTGTTTAAATTTTAAATGTTGGCTTTCTCTTACAAGTCACATTATATAGTTTACGTAATGATTAAAGAGACCGCATAAATACTTATAGTGCGCTTGGAATTATTATTTTTAAATGAATATTGTACATAACTTCATATCAATTACTATATACAAGGATTAATTTTATTCACCTGATAAGGTTATATATAATATTTGATATCAAGCTGCGGAGATTACGCAAATTCTTTCTTGTTAATGTTTTTGATATATAAAATCTCTATTATCTTTATTATCTTTTAAAGTGAACAATTTCCTATCTATAAATTCCAAGTATTTTGTAAGCGCAGAAAGCTAAATATTTTTCATGGTATATTTGAGCGAATAAAGCAAATATATATAAAAGAAAGTAATAAAAACAATATAATTGGAGCGACCTAGTAGAAAATGGTAGCCGGATTTATTTGCCGGTTACACATGTCTGGTTACACATGATTTTATAGGCTCATATTTAAAAGTAGGTCACGAACTGACATTATGGTTAAAAATATTCGTTCACATTTTAAGTCATTGGAGAAAATGAATAACGATATTATAGTGCTAAAAAATACTCAAATTATGTCATGAACCTGGAAAGATTTAACAAGAATATAACATACTGAAAATAATTATATTAGAAACATAAAGAATATAGAGTAAGATATTGTACATAACATGATAATTTTATTTGTAAATCGAAATCGTAACCAAAAATGTGTAACCGGCAAATAAAGTGAATAAAGTGATGCTAGGATCGTTATTTAATTGGCTAAATGTAAATGTCACATGATCGTCGATCATTACCCATACACAACAATTGTGATATATTTCTGATACGCCATATTTTTGTTTGTGTATTACAGTTTTTAAATAAAGAAAAATGGCAATAGTACAAAGAAATGGAGGTTGTACAAACTCTGATATAAATTTTATAATACAACGAGTTTCTTAATTTCTCTTTACTTTTTGGACTTTATGTTTTTAGCGAGAAATAAAAAATGGAAGGAAATTCAAACCAGGTGAATAAATTTTATATGAATATTGGATATTTTGTTTAATTAAGATAATTAATAAGCTTACTTTATATTACAACTATATATAGAATGGAAGTTCATCGTTTGTTAATAGTTCCATCGAGTTCAGACTACCTCTGCTTGAAAACATATCCAATAATTGTATCCTTCTTGAGTTAGAGCAAGATGGATTTATTACACCTGATGAAAAGGCAGAAAAACTTATTAAAAATTTAACCAAATTAAATTATTTATTTGCTCTTAAATTACTTTTTGATACCCCATTTAACCAATTTTCGGATGAAGTTCTTCGAAATTCTTTGGTTGCATTAGCAGATCCGACGCATTTTGATTATTATGGAAAACAGAGTATGGTCAGACTAGAGTTACACATTCGTACCTGGGTTGCTGTATTGGAAAAGATTTGCGTGACACCAATGCGCTTAAGTAAAGAACTTCGAGATAAAGTTTATAGCTCTTTAGCAAAATTTGCAGAAATTCATAAAAAAACAACTCAAGTAATGCAAGAAGGAATTGATAATAATTTTAGGTCTGAATTTAATCAATTCAATCAATTACATGATAATAAAGAAGATGAAGGAATTATGAACAAACGAAATTATAATATTGACTTCTTATTAATTCATTTACGAGATACATTACATAGTTTACGTGATGATGAGACTTGGTTTCAAGAAATTATACGAAGAACCAAGGAATTACTTAAGGGTGCATTAAATATTACACCAGGAGCTTTATCAACACTAGCACCCGGAGTTGCTCTTCCAAATGATAATTGTTCGATCTTATCAATGCTCACTCAATTACGAAAAGGATTAAATTTTAAGTATCCAGTAGCGTCTTATTATGTAGATTGGAGAGTTATGTTGATAATTCAACATAATTTATTCAATTGGTCTGGTGGTACTGAAAATATAATTAGTAAAAAATTTCAAGAAATGGTATTAATGGAATATTTTTGGAGTTATTTAGAAAAAGAATGGATTGATGTTACTGATAATTCTATTTTAGATTCTCAATCAAAATTTGATGAAATATCAAATAAACTTGTTAAAGCTTTTAAAAATACTGGAAATTTCATTAATGATCTTGTTGGAAATGAACCTCTTGCTTTACCACATACTTTATGGTTTGGAATATTAGATCTCGCACAAAATCTTATCCAAAGATCCACTCGAAAATCCACTCATGGTCTATGTTATTATTTAGCAATTGAATCACTTAATAGAGCTCCCAGTAGTTTCATTCAATTTAAAGCAATTGAAATATTATTTCATTTACATAATATTAATCAACAAATGTTTTCAATAATTGAAATTGACTTTAATCAATACATTCAAAAATTAAATGAAACAGATTCAACAACAGATTCTTCAGAAAAATTTCAAAATTTGTTAGCGTTTGTTAAAAAAAAGTGTGCTGATGATTTTAATCTATTAAATTATAATATTGAAAAAGGAAAGGGAAAAGGAAAAGAAAAGAGTCTATCAATTCAAAATACAAACTTAACAAAAAAAATTTCGAAATTGGGTGAAATTTTAGAAATGATTGCAAATGAAATGACTTGCCCGATTGATCATGAACCAACAGATCAATTATGTGTTTTACAATGTCAACATATATTATCATTTAATAATTTAAAAAAATTGAAACAGAAAAATTGCCCTAAATGTCGAGAAAATATTGAAGATAATGGTATTAGATATTTACCACAAAATGTTATTTATAAACATTTATATTCCCAATTTTTTGAAGCTGGACATATTTTACCTTCAATTGAAGTAGAAGATTTAACAAACAACCAATATGATGATAGTGATTCAGATGATTCAGAAGTTGATCTTATGTTAACTAAGAAAAAGAAAATTCTAAAAGCAATTAGGTTAAATCCAAATATATCATTAAAATCAATATTCCAAATTAGAAAAAAACAGCATCCAACATATCTAAATGCTATTAAAGAATTAAAAGAAAAAAATTATAAAAATGCTGAACATTGGTGTAAAGAGTTTCTTAAAACCTATCCAGAAAGTTATTCTATAAGATGTATTTTAGCTTACACTTATAGATGTCTCAATAATTATAAACAAGCACATTTACATTTAAATGAAGCTATTGAGCTGAAAGGAAAAAAGCTCAATGCCTGGTATATTCGTGGAGAAATTCATTTAAGACAGGGCAATTATGATGATGCAGTAAGAGATTTAATAACTTCAATAACTTCAATAAATTATAATGCTAAAATGAATTTTTTATATATAATGATTGGAATTAGTTATTGTAATAGTAATGATAATGAAGATGCCTTAAAATATTTTGATAATGTATTACAAAATGATCCAAATAATCATTTATGTCTTAGGTACTGTGCTTATATTTATGAAAAGCAAGGAAAATTCTCAGATACTCTAAAGATGTTAGATAAATTGCTCAAGATTAATGAGAAAGATTCATTAATTTTATGTTATTATGGAGAAACTATAAGTAAAATGAAAAAGTATGATAGTGCTATAACATATTTTACAAAAGCAAGTAATATAGATCCAGAAAATATTCATAATTTAACTAAGAGAGCTATTATATATTGTATTCTTCAAGAATATGAAAAAGCTTTATTGGATATTAATAATATCATACAATTAGATACTTGTAAGGGATTAATATATTTTATAATGGCAGATAATATTGAATTAGATCCTAATATTGATTGGAATCTAAAGTTTTTGAATCTTATTTCTAAGATTAATGAATTCGCTAATATAAATCATGATGAATCATTGCTTTTGATGAGATGCACAATATATATTAGATTAAAAAAATATGAAGATGCAGTATTAGATTTAGATAGATTGTTTGAGATAAATGAAGATATCTCATTTGCTTATTTATTACAAAAATATTCAGATTTTTGGTTATACTTGTGTAAATCATATCTTCTTAATGATCGGGTTCATCTTGGAATTACTAATTATTTTGACCTTTATATGTATAGAGGTAAGTACATTTAAATTTAATATTCTACAAATTAATATTAATTACTACATTCTAATAGTGGATTTTTACAGTAAAAGGGATTTATTTTATGTCCCATCTTATGAAGTTTAATTGTAAATATCAAATTCAATTTCGAGAAAGTTATTTAAATGGGTAAATATATTTGTAATAGTATTTACAATTTGGGTAATCATATATAAATTAATGGCTTTAATAATCTGTTTTCAAGGCGCATATTATCTCTTAAAGGCATTTATTTAAGCTTGCCCGAATTTTCTATTGCCGATATGCCTTCTGTCAAAAATGCATTCTATGATATAATTTGGAAAATAAATATCAAAAAAATAATTTCGTCGGACTGTTTTATTAAATTTATAGTTGAAAGAAAATGTTCAGTAAGTGTAATTAATAACAAATATTTAGTTTATTTAATTTAATTAACAACAACTAATACGTGAGTAATTCTGTAATTTCATATAAGTTTATCAATAAGTCGAAAAAGGAATATGTATTACAATATGAAGATATATTAGAACTTGAAGGATTAGGTTGGATTTCATATGTGACATTTTGCCCTATATACCTACATGGATACGATCAGATACAACTTTCAATTGTAACACAAGAGGATTCTATTGATATGGTTTGCAATTTTGTTCTTATTCTTTCAATATGTACAGAATATATGAATTATAACATTATCATTCCTTTATTTATTATAGCAAATAGAATATGCCAGACTTACTTACAGTCATCATGAAGAACGAATTTATTTTCCTAAAACGGATTATTTATTACCATTTTATGCAAAAAATATTCCAGAAACTTTTAAGGACAAGTATTTTTTAAGAAAAGAAACAGAAAATTTACTTGAATTAAATGACATTATTGATAACCTATAAATTATAAATAGTTATACTATATATATCATCTCTAAGAAAGTGGGTTATAATTTAGTTATTTTATATTTATAATATATATAAGACGCAAAAATAATACAAAAATTATTAAATTATTAAATCCATCCCACTTCAACAGCTTTTATGATATCAGACTGTTGACATTCGTTGATGATGATGTTCCGATATCACAATGTTCGTAATGTGGAAGACGCGTATGATTATAATAAAAGTAGCTTTTTATCCATTTAATTAGAAAAAATGAAATTTATTTATATATGTACAGTACATATAATATTTAAGAATAAATGTATTTGTAACAGCCTGTTACATATCTTATTTGTAACATCCTTTTTTTATTTTTTTTTAATAATAAATTTATTATGTTTTTTACTAATAAAATTTTTATATGCAAAATTTAATTTGGAAAACTTTTACTTAATGTACTTAAGACAGTTTCATAGACAAAATTTCAAGTTATAAGCAGTTTCTTGAAATTTTTTAAAAAATTCTTTTGTTTTGGTTACACGACTGATCTTTTTGTTTTTGTTTACATTTCGCCTGATCTTAAATTTTAATTGGATAAAATTGGGGGTTGTTACAAATAAGACGCGTAACAGGCTGTTACAATTAGATTTATCCAATATTTAATATGGATTTATATTTATAAAAGATACATACATACAGTATGTAATCAGTAATCTATTTCGAATTTTTCATTTTTTGCTTTTGTGAATTTTTTTTGTGAAATAAATAAAAAGAAAAATAGAGAAATTTTTATTAATGTTCGAGAAAACGCATTAAAATGGTTTGAGAATGAAGGAATGTGTATTACAGATTAGAATAAGAATGAAATTAAGTGAGAGAACAATTATATAGTTATACAAATGAAAAATATGTTTCTGACATAGCATATTCTCATCCAATCATTTCAAATCGTTATTTATTCATCGATGTAATATTTTCCTATTAATAAAAACTCTGATGTTATCAAGAAATCTGATTTACAAATGTTCAGTAAATGGGCCAAAGCAACATATTTTATATGATTATAGAAGATACTACTATGTTTTGGCCAATTTAAATTACTGTAAAAAATTAAGAGGATTACCAGACTTACAAATGTAACTTCAGAATTATTATTTTCTAAACTTCTAAACAAATTTTATATAAAAAATTTATATTCATAACATGCTATATATCATAACTTAATTTATCCCACGGTTCCTAATCAATTTCTGTAACTTTTTTTACTGATATTTTCACGGTAACTGATCAACATGTTTATATCACATAATAAATTATACTTTTTATTGTTAAACTTATTATTATACTATTGAAAATAAAAATGATATTATATTATTTGCATTTATACATAAAGAATTATAAAATCGAAACTATTTTTGTATATAAAAAGAAACATTTGAAAAGGTACAATTTTGAAATATAGGTATACTTGGGAATTTGTGTAAAGTTTTTTTTATTTTTTTTAACCATTATGGTTTGAATAAGTGGAATAAAGAAGAAAGCAGTAAAGTTTAATAATAGTTAGACAAATACTATTTATAATAGTTAAAAATAAACTATAAAATAAACTATTACTAGTAGTCAAAATAAACTAGTATCAAATAAACTCACAGGAGAAAAGGACGGAACCGTGGGATAAATCAGTTATTTCACGGAGTCACTGGAATATCATGATTTTCACGGCTGCGCCGTGAAAATCATTGATATCCACAGTTCCCCGTGAAATAACTATTACATAAAGAATATTAAATTTTACTGATAAACCTTACGACATCTTTGTTAAATTCTTTGGCCTTTTCCCATAAAATACAATGTCCAGATTCTTTATAAATAATGGTTTCAACATTTTGACCTAAAGAAGAAAAATAAAGGCCATTTTCCATACTGTTAAGCCAGTTCTTGTATGCTTATAAAAATAAGCGTATGGGTATATGGTAAGCAGAAGGATTAGTGGGTAAAATAAATGTTAATAAATATAAATGAACGCGTGGTGAAATAAATTATATAAAAACAATAGTAAATGTATCACTGTCGATCAATTTACGAAGGTTACACAATAAACAAAATGAAATTTCAGTCAAATGCGAATACGGTATTGCACACACGGGCATATACACTCAGACGCAAAAGTTGACTCACAAATGTAACAAACTATAAAATAAACACTGAGATAATTTATTAAAATATAACAGAATTATCTGACATTTACATCAATTTAGAACGCATGTATTTATAACAATAATTTCTATGCTAATCATGTTAAAAATATTAAATAAATGCTATATATTTAACAAATGTAATATGTTAAATATGTGTTATATGTTGCATATGTTATATATGTTAAATATGTTGCATATGTTAAACATGTTTAACATATTAAACATTTGTAACATTTGCAACATTCGTAACATGATCGTCAGTCACATGATTATTCGATTGACAATACCAAATACATCATTTTCTGCAATGATATGTAAAGAAGGTATAGTTAAAGTACTATAAAATTCTCCTACATTGAACGGAACTTATAAAGAATGATAAAATAAATAAACTAATTGCCAATCCGCCACTCAACGATACAAAATTGATTAGTAGATCCGTCGCAAGTTCTTATATAAATGACGTCGATCGGCACATTTCAACTCTGATTTTGTCCTACATAAGTCATGCTTAATGTAACCATACTTTACCAATCAAATAATGCAAAACGTGAATATGTCACAAAAAAAAAATTTTTTTTCATTTGCTATAAAATTTAAAGAGTTTACTATGGAGGAAGTCACCATTCCAGCTCATATTTTAGGTAACTTTACACGAATTTTGCAAATTTTACAAGGTTTTTTTGCATTATTATTATATAATATATGATCTGTCTCTTATACACATCTAGATGTGTATAAGAGACAGTTATTGAATAAGTAAAGTTGTTTACGAGGTATAGAACTACTTGTATATTAATTTTCATCAGGTTAGCTTGAATATTCGTGAAGTTATGCTAATTTTTTGTAATATATTCGTGCAGATATTTTATGGCGTAATTTAAGCACTTTGGTCAAACAAAACTGGCCTTTATTGATTAAGTAAAGTTGTTTAATGGGTATGGAACCTGTCTCTTATACACATCTAGATGTGTATAAGAGACAGGATTGTAGATTGCCGATCATTTTGTATCGCTGAGTGGCAAATTAGCAATTAAATAAATAAAAATTAATTTTTAAATATAAAAAAAAAATAAATCAAAGAAAAAATTACTTTGTACTTACTAGAACCTGACTTACGATATTCAAAAGAGGCTGTAACAGAATTACTACCTAAAACAAAGAAAGAATGCGAAAGCATTCTGGACAAAAAAAAATTTAAAAAAATCCAGTAAATGAAGAACCTTATTTTACCTTTTCGAAATGAAGCTATCTAAAGAGTTCCAAAATGATCTCATTCCTAAAAATTAAGTAAAAAGCAAATAATCTGATGCGTCAACCGACATTAAACATCTTTATATATCCCAAAGTCACTGTTTCTAGAATAAACTAGCTGAAAGATTTAAATAAAAAAAAATATTAGTAAAAATATGTTATCAAGCTGCGGAGATAAAGTAAATTCTTTCTTGTTAATTTTCTTGATATGTAGTAAAGTGTCGCAAGTTTCAATTTATAGCTTCTTACTGACTTACTTTAATTAACGATGACTCCATCTAACAAATTTAGCATCATTATCAATGAATGAGAAAATCACCATAAAATTCAGCTATTGCTATTGTCATTTTTGAATTTATAGATAGAAATTGTTCATTTTAAAAGTTTTTTGTAAGCCCAGAAAGCTAAATAGTTGCGAATTAGTAAGTTACAGAAAGTAATTAATTAATTTCAGTAATAATATTAAATAAAGAAATTATTTACAATAAAATTCAATACCTTATTCAATAAATTTGAAATTATTATTTTCCATGAAAATAAGAATTTATAATATCTTTTAAGGTCTGTGTAATGTAGGGATGGTAAAACTTGAGAAGGAGCAGCTCGAGCACGATATTGGAGTCGGCTCACAGTGTCCAGCTCGGTTCGGTTCAGAACCATTTGTATCACGTGACGTTATATAATTTCCAATGGGGAATCTTAACCTGTTCCAGGGGGTATACGCTTCTTATCCTGTTCCCCTGCATCAGCCACATCAGCCCCAGCCACATGGATTTATTTGTTGTTTACCAGTTATCATTATACGCAATACGCGCGCACTCTCTTTCTTTTCCTTTCCCACTTTCTTTTCCTTTTTCTTTTTTTTATTTTTTAAATATTTTAAAAGCTTTAAAAAGTTAGATAATATTTAATATTGACTTGGATATGAAGTATTATTTATAAAGTTGTGAATATTTTTCACATTTAACACTTTATTTTTGATAACAGACGCGTTTTTTATCTAAAATTTATTACATATAATTTTACAAATAATCTGACTTTTATCAAATAAGCAAAGCTGTTTAACAGGTATGGAACTATTAAAAATTAATTTTCACCAAGCTAGCTTTGATATTTATGAAGCTATACTTATTTTTTGTTATATTTTCGTGCAGATACTTCGTGGCGTAATTTAAGCAATTTTGCCAAACAAAACTGGCCTTTATTGAATAAGTAAAGTTGTTTACGAGGTATAGAACTACTTGTATATTAATTTTCATCAGGTTAGCTTGAATATTTGTGAAGTTATGCTAATTTTTTGTAATATTTTCGTGCAGATATTTTATGGCGTAATTTAAGCACTTTGGTCAAACAAAACTGGCCTTTATTGATTAAGTAAAGTTGTTTAATGGGTATGGAACTACTTAGATATGAATTTTCACCAAGCTAGCATGGATGTTTGTGAAGTTATATTTATTTTTTGCAATGGAATTTACTGTGCGCGTATATATATTTATATTTTGTAACATAATTTCAACACTTTAGTTAAACTAAACCGGCTTTTGTCAATACATAAAATTGTTCAGTAAGTCTA